AAACAGTAATCAGGTGTCATTTTCGTTGCGGGTTCCTCGCGACGGGCTGGATAGGAAGAAGAATGTAACTTTCGGACACCAAACATGACATTTCATTTTATTTGAAATCTGAAGTTTTTGTTCCTCAGGTAAAATTACCCACGTGCACCATATCAGTTTTCGGTGAGTCATGCAGTATTGTCGTAGGCAATGCCGCCCGCCACTGTCTTACTACGCAGTGGTTTACGCTGCCACACCCTTCACCGTGCTCCAATGAGGGAAAGTCAATGCGACTTGAGGTGGGTGTGCGCGTGCGCATGAGCTAATGAAGTTGAGCACTCCGTCTACACTGGCCATACACGAGCTGGTCCCTGCTTAGCATGCGCCGGACCTCTTACAAGAGATGCTCTCGCCTCTCACGTGGGTAGATGTACCCTCAAGGGCCACTTAAAATGGCTTTATTGTAGCCTTAAACTCGGTCCTTAACAAAACGGAGTTGAGAAGAAGACGACTCGATCGCTGGGACAATACGTTTATTCGCCTGACGTCATTTGTCGCGGATTCATCATCAGAGACGTTAGCAGAAAAAGGTAGCAGAAACGGATTGCCGCATCAGTTCGCAACCTTGCAAGTCGCAAGTGATAGAACGCGTCAAGTGAGGACCACGCCTTGAGAACGGATTTTCGAGTATCGGCATCAGTTCCTCTACCATGCCCCAGTGGTTCGTCCGAATCAAGTCGACTGGAAGTTAGGTTGGACGCAGTGGCTGCTAGAGCTCACCAATCCGTCTGTGTATGCCACATGTGACCTAGATCCTGCTGCACATGTACCAGACCACAGCAAAGGACACTCTTGTCATGGAAAAGGGTTCCGCATATTTTCGCATGCGATCTTTCGCCAGTCACACCGGCTCTGACAAATTGGATCGCGCGTCGAGGGTTTGAAATGCACATGACAGGGCGGGGGGAGGGAGGGAGGCGATTGGGTGAATTGATGATCGCATTTTAACGAATTTATCATCCCTATCAACTGTTAAGGCCATTTATGTCACTCATCCCCATTGGCAAAGGTTCATTTCTCACACTCATATTGCAGAACAACAACGTTTTCTATTAAACTAAGGCCTGTAAACACTATCTGTCCAGTTTTACCAATCTTACTTCAACGATCCCTTTCAACAACTTACTTTTTCTTGCACTTTAGCTGATCCTACAAGTTCACTTAGAACCATTTACGTAAATTTTAGTATCTCTCTCTGCAGGGACATACAGTAAGTCAAGAAACTTTGTAATAAATCTCAAATGAATATCCTGTTAAGTAAGCAGCCTCGATACATTTAGGGCTGCTTTGCTGCAATTGTTTTCGAGATAAGTCTTTTAGCAATGCTTAGTAGTGAACATATCTAGTAGTGAAGCTGTCAGATCTTTCATTCAAATCCACTTTATTACGAAGAACATCTGCAAAAACCTCTGTTGACTCTTTCTATTAGGGAACAGTACCTGCATCTATATCCTGTCGAAGAACTGTATTTTCATTCTGCAGTTTATTACCGGGAGTAGCGGTTGAATTCTTTCTAGACGGGCAGTCCACCAATATGTCCATATACACATGCATATGCTGTAAGAGCGTCTTAAGTAGTTGTCTCCATCCACCGGCGTCTCGCCGTTTGTGAGTTGTCTTCTACAACTGGCCTGTTGTACCTACTGTAGAACCACAGTGTGCCGCCACAGGAGCTGCGCGTTTTAGCTACATTCCTTTATGCAAATCTGCCCTCACATGATCTTTTGCTTCTACTGTCCCTTATCCTGCCGACTCTAGACTGAATCAGCTCCACGACGGTTGCCAAAGCAGGGTTTCGGGGAAATCGTCCTTGCCGAACTCCTTCCGCCACAGTGCTGTGCTCCATTCACTGTTATTGTCTATTTTGCTAATTACCTATTCACATCTGTTGTTTCCGCGGCGTGAAAGCAGTCATTTCTGCATCTCTTAG